GCCACGTTTTCATTAATTGCATGTGTGTGTGCGTGCGTGCGTGCGTGTGTGTGTGTGTGTGTGTGTGTGTGTGTGTGTGTGTCTGTACACATATACATGTATATACATGTGAATACATACATATATGCATATATACTTCTAAATACAACCTGCTAAGTCTTCATATTTTGCTTGTATGTATCTGTTCAGGGCTGACCATTTGGTATTAGATGACCAGTTTGTGTGCTCTTCTCTGGGGAAAACTATTTTTCCCTCTCTCAGCATCCTTTAGGTGCCTGTAGTTCTTGTGTATGATTGAGGCCTTCTGGGTTTTCCCCCATCCATTTATGCATGTCTATCTTCATTGTCCTTGTTCAGCTCATGTTTAGACAGTCATGTCGATGAGACTTTATGAGAGTAGTTTTTGGAATTCCTAGGAGACACAATCTCATAGCAAACTCCCTGATCATCTGTCTCTTACAGTCTTTCAGCTCCCTCTTCTGCAATGATCCTTGAGCCTTAGGTGCAGGGGTTGTTATAGTTGTTATAGATGTATCAGTTGAGATCCATAACTCTGTATTTGGTTGGTTGTGGTTTTCTTTACCAGTCTTCTCCTGCCAAGAGAAGTTTCCTTGATGAGAAATCAGGACTACACTTATCCCTGGCTATACACACAAATGTTTAGATTGCTGTTAGGGATTATCCTGGCCTGGTAAATTGGCAGTTGTAGGTTCTCCTCCAAGATCCATGACTTCATTTAGCAGTGGGTAGTTTGCTAGGTTTCCAGCACCAGAAATGATTTCCCTCTAGAGTGGTTCTTAAGTCCAATTACAGAGCTGTTGGTTACTAGTAAGGTATGCATGCCACTACTGTACCTTTAGAATTATCATGACATGCTGCACATTGTTGTGGTTCATAGGCATCATAGTTGGGTAGGACTGTTGGTTGTTTCCCTCACTTAGAAGTTTGAATGTTGCCTTCCATTTAGCCATAAATAAAAATGAAACAGTGAATTTTGCAGATAAATAGATGGAACTAGAAAAGATCATATTTAGGTAACCCAGACCCAGAATAGCAAATGTAACATGTTTTCTCTTATCTGAGACTCCTAACTCCAAATCTTCAGATATGCATGTATTTTCTGTAAGAACTACAGAAACAAGGAAATTAAAGAAGGACCATTGCTGGAGTAGAGTTGTGGAGAAGCAATAAGGAGGAAAATAACAGGGTACAAGTGATTTGATGGGGGATATGGGAAAAACAGGAAAGGCTCTAATTATGAAGATGGAGGAGCATAAATACAGAAGAAGGAGAGAGGAGGAGAAAATAATGGTTAAGTATGTCTGAAAAAGTCACAAGGAATTAATTATACTATTAACTATGTACCTTCCCTAAAAACTATAATGAACATAAGTCTGTGTAAATACACATATTTATATTAACTGAAATGTTCCTGTCTGGGCTGACAATAGGCCCTCCAAAAGCCAAAGACCATTTGACAAAATCCTGAAAACCAGGAAGAAGAAGCCATCTTTTGAGTTATTGGTCAGGGTTGTCCAAGAGACTCCCAAAACATTATAGGCTATTGCTATTGCCCTTGGTTTCCCTGCCCCACCAAAGGTGTAAAGTAAATCAATATTGCTGAAGACACTATGTTCTTTAGACACTGGGCTCAATGATCTGGAACTGATTTGAAAGGCCCCTCCCTGAGGACTAGCTTTCATGGTGCTTTAGGTATTACTAAATCAACAAGTTGACAATCAAAATTAATCATCACATACTGTTGAAACTAATAAGCATGTTTGTCAAGGTTTTGTAAAATTTCAATATGTAAAAAATCAGTTACATGTCAACACACCAGCACTTAACAGTCATAAAATAAAACTGAGACAATTTTCCTACTTTGAATAGCATCAAAATAATTACCTACTTCAGAATTTATTTAACAAAAGAAATATAAAGCTAGGCATGAAGGTATGTGTTTGTTATCTCAGCCCTTGGGACGTTGAAGTGGGTGGATTAGGAGTTCAAGGTCAGCTTCAGTTACATAACAAGTTTGAGGCCAGCCTAGGCTAAATAAGATCATGTCTCAGAGCAAAACAAACAAGAAATCTGAGTCTTTTTTAATGAAGTGTGATACAAAGAAATGAAAGATTAAATAGCAAAAAAACATTTTGTGCTCATGAAGTAGAAGACTTAATATTATTAATATGTTAATGCTATCCAAATTAACCCAAGGTTTCAACATAATCTCTGTCAAAATCTATATAGTGAGTGTTTAGTTTTATTCAAAGAAATGTCTGCACTCTGCCCTCAGCTACGGGAGGAGAGTTGACCTATGTACACCTAGAATGCCCAGATTAATAGGTATGTCATTATTTGCCAGGTGCTTTGGTCATACTTGATCTAACACAATGATTTGTGGCAGGGACTTGTGGATATGCTACATCAAAGCACCAGAGGAACCAGAAACTTCATATTAGCCTGAGCCTCCAAAAGAAGCTCTAAATTAAAGGTCAGCCATGCAGACAGTGTGTAATAAAGTCCTGATAAGAACTGTGGACACCAAAGGTTCAGTGAGCTTCCCTGGTTCCTTTGAGTATTATCACTGACACATCTTAGTAGGGGGAAGTAAATCTAAGAGATCAGGGGGAGGAAATGACCGGGAGTCTCATGTTGGATCACTTCTGGACTTCACTTTACCAATCTCCTCCTTCGGCTGCTTCTAATGTCTATCTTTTTGGTTTAATAGAACTGTAATCCTAAGTCTAGAATTTTCCTGAGTTCTGTACCTTTTCTACTAAAATGTAATACCTGAGGGTGGTATGAGAACTTTCAGTACACAGTACACAGTAGCCAGCTGGTGTGATGCTCTTCAGGCTCTACCTATGTATTTTCCTATAAGTTAGATTAATTCAATCATAGTATAGTACTGGACAGTTCTCAACAATGCTTGGTGCCTCATATCAGTAACTTGAAATTGACCATGGAAGCACATTTGTAACAGAAACCACCAAATTCCTCAAATATCCGCTCTTAACTATTTGTGTAGTCATAAAACCATTAGTAACACAAATTAAACATAATTTTGTTGTGTCCACTCGGCACTGTTACATGAACAGCACAGGAAGCTGAGGAAACATTCTGTCATTATTCAAAAGTTGGTATTCAGTTCAGCAAAGGTGTTGCTGGCATCATACAGAAAGGGTAGATTGGGAACAAGCAACCTCACTGTTTCACTTTCCAATCACCTGATCAACGAAAAACATAGACTTGTTTATCAACTGGAACCTTGGCTTTACTCTAGACACGAGACTTCAGAAAGATCAACAGCAGCATTCTGAGGAATCAACTAGTCACATGGAAATTATGCTGAAGAGCATAAGCTGGGGTTACAATTCAGTGGTCAAGCCCTTGCCTAGCATGAGTAAAACCACAGCTTCTTCAGCACTAAGGGGCAGAAATATTGCTGAAAAGTGGTGTATATTTTACATTACTTGTAAATTGGGTCTTATACATCTTTTGTAGCACTGAGACTACCAAAGGACCACAAAAACAGATATCCAAGATAAATGAGTCACAAATGACTACGGCTTTGCTGAACTCTCACAGTTCATTTTCCCTGACTTCTAGTAGGTAACTCTTTTCTCCTAACTTAAAGCTGGGGGCTCTGCATGCTAATTCTTACTCTTAACTTCAGCCTTAGACTAGCATTTATTCTTTTTCCATGGCATTCAAATGAATGACCGGTTGGAATGAAATCATTCTTCTAGCTTCTTTTTTTCTTTAACATCACCTGCCTCTCTGAAATTCTACACATTGCTGAGAATAAATACAAGGTGGTTCCTACTATATCAGGTGTACTTGTAAGCAACTGTAAGCTGATGCCACCATTCTGCACAGCTCCGGGGACTTGACCTGCCTGGGGCAGCAAAGGTGTGAGGAAAGGACAAACATATGGACACAGAAAAGCTGGAGTTGAGGGGACTGGTGTCTCAGATGGAGAAGCCTCAGCATCCCAGAAGTTCTACATATTTCTCAAATACAAGGGAACAGGGAGGTAGAGTTATCTCACACAGATGAATTAAGGAGGCAGGGTCTATGGTATACAGCTGGACAAAGAAGGAAAGCTTAGCTAATCTTGATAGGAACCTTCTCTGTAAGAGGAATTTTCTTAGACCATAAATATCTTGGGGTGGGGGCAGGGCCTGTCGGTGGTAGGGATGAAGTTTGCTGATTTTCAGTCTAGCTCTAGGTTCAGTGAGAGACCCTGTCTCAAAGGAATAATGCAGAGAAAAATAGAGCAAAGTACCTGACATCCTCCTTTGGTTTTTGTAAGTGCACAGACATGCACACACATACATACACAAGTACTTTTACCACATAACAGATACCATATTCACATTTAAACATACATTCACATATACCATACACACACATGCTTATACCACATAAATATATACCATATTCACATGTAAGCACACACATACTTATATGCACACTCACATACAACCACACACAGTGCTTATACCAGATAAACACACACCATATTCACATGTAAATATACACATGCACAGTCACACACAAGAATGCACACTAACATTTTGTTTTGTGGAAGAAATAATGTGTTGGAAGAACTGAGATTATTGGTAATCTACAAAGATTAAGATTGAAGAAACATAATAGGAATAAGGAAACTGGAAATAATTAATGCCAAGAAAACAGAAGAAGCCTTCATTTTCTGGACACTGACCTCGTAAGCAAATAAGAAAATATTTTAATGTATTCCTTTATTGCCCTTTAGAAGCAGCCACTCTTATGTGTGACATTAGAGCATATAATGAGGTTAGTATTTAGATACTGGTGGGAGAATAGGTCAAGTTCATCACAAACATATTTTCATTTTGGTTCACTGTGTTTTCTGCCACAGCATTTTGTAAAGCCATGTATCCTGGTTTAAAAGAGATGTACCCATGAGAGTATTACATTAACCTTTTATCTCATTTTTCCCTCTTCTGCAGGTGACCATCCCTAAGTATTGTATATATCGCAATGAAAAATGTGTATAAACAAAAGGACTACAGAAGTAGCCAAGAGAGAGAGAAACTGAAATCCATCTCACCTAAAAGCTCTTTCAGATTTTTACAAAAGCCTTGCACAGATTCTGCATTATGACCCTGTCACTGCCTAGAAGAACACATGACCAATAATGAAAGCCACTAACAAAGACAAGAAGAGCAGGGTGTGACTCATCTGACTGGTTCATCAACATCATTTAAGTATCTACTCACTTAAAAGGTTGATTGTAGTATTTATCTAATTATTGCTTATCAGTAAAAAAAACTGAGAGTCAAATATTGGGGTAAAAACCTGAATGATCAGAGAAGCAGTAGAAAAGCCACCAGTGACCTCCTATCTCTTCCATTCCTCCATCCAAAAGGAGTGAGATCTTCTCCCAGCCCCACCTTATTACTTCCTGCCTCTTATCTGTCCTCAGTCCTCCAAAACCTCTATGGTTAATTTTGGTTAGCTAGTGGCTAGCTCCACCCTCTGATTGAAAACAAACTTTACTTTCAGAATGCAATCAAAATATCATACATCAGCTGACCACTGATGATCAGGTGATATTTTCTTTGGGACCCATGTACAGTTCTCTATAGCAATCTAATCGACATTTTTTTGCAGTTGTTTGAGTGAGCAAAAAAAATGTGTCTGAAGCCAAGTTATCCTAATCAGCCAGCCTGGACCAGTCTGCAGGGAATACTTATAACTGTGCCTCTCCAGCACAAAATAAGACCTGGGATCCTTTGAACCCATCTAAATGATTTAGATCTTATTTGGGATGCTAGGATTGCACATGTTTTCTCAAAGCTCTTCACTCAGTACCAGAAGCCAAAAAAGTATGAAAGCACAGGCTGCTGATTTTAATTACAATCTTCAACTACTACTGATATTTATAACTGTACGGGAATGATTCGGTATACATTAAAGGACAAAAAGTCTCTCAAAATTTAAACAAGCAGCAAAACTTCGGAACTATCTTGGTGGACATGGTTGCTTATCTAACCCTGAGGTGCTAATAGATCTTCCACAAGGATTCCAGGGCAAGAGTTGTTGGCCCTTACTTTTCTTTTTTTTAATTGAAAATCACTTTTTTTCATACAATATATTCTGATCACTGTTTCCCCTCCCTCATCTCCTCCCAGATCCTCCCCACTACCCCACCCATCCCACTCCATGCCTTCTCTCTCTCTCTTTAGAAAGAGGAAAAAAACGAAAAGGAAAGACAGGAGAAAAGTGCGTATGTGTGCGCGCGCGCGCGCGCGCACACACACACACACACACACACACACACACACAAACAAAACACAAAATCAAAACCTATAACACATAAGCAAAGGACCAGTAATTTTTTAAAAAATATCCAAACAACAACAACAAAATCTCCACAATTGCCTTTGAGTTCATTCTGTGTTGGCATCTACTTCTGGGTGTGGGGCCTGCCTTTAAGTGTGCTTTGCTTGCCTAGTGAGACTTCACTGGAAAAAGCTCATCTCTCCTTTGTATATATTAGATGAGTTGTCAATCAGAGATAGGTTCTTTGTTAGGGGTTCTATCTTTTCTATACTGATGAGAAACGTGGGTTTTTCCTTACTTTTACAGAACTAACACCCTCGGATTTCCAAGTTCACACAGCAGATTTTGCATACAGAACAGTGTGATATTGTCACCTGTAGGACAAATATGCTCTCCCAAAGTTTTTGACGCTGGAGGTAAGTGCCTCTCTAAAAAGAGATTATTTATGTCCTAGAGCCTAGACCAGCTGTTTGTGCAAGGCTGTAGAGGGGGGTCATGTTTGCCTCAGGAGTTTACTGCAGGCAAATTTTCCCTGGAAAATACTGCTGGGGAAAGTGCTGACCAAACAACATCTATATTTACACAGTTAGATATTCATTAAAGCAGAAAATGCCCACTAAATTTAGAGAGATACCAAGTGCCAAATTCAAGAGTAGACCAGAGCAGAAAGTTGACTAAAATCTGCTTCCAGAGTGTATCAGGGACAAATGAGTCAGGTTTATAGCAATAGCTTGTCCCAAGAGACCCTGACTACAAGATTGTCAAGTGTACCTCACAAGAAAGAAGTTTGTTTATTTGTTTGTTTGTTTGTTTGTTTGTATTACTAAAGAACATGGTGAGTGGTTCAGATGGGAGAATTTTAAGCAAAAACAGAAACAATTACACCTAAACAGGGAATGCATTGTTAATACTTCAAGGGACCTTAATAAGAGCAATCTTTCATTATCTTACATTTTCTCTGACTCTGACAGAAAATGTGGGCAAGTGGTATTTCCCAAGCCCTGTTCGTGGAATAGGCAGCCATTCTTTGTATATATTAGATGAGTTAAATCTTAGATTTGAGTGCATGTAACTGATTTCCCTCATAATTTACACATAAAATAAATGAGGCTGAGGGCAATAGTCAACTTTCCCTAGGTCATAAATTGAAAGGAGTGGTTTCAATTTCCTCAACAAGCAAGCTCTTACTGCTTCATTTGTGCACCACTAAGTATTAGCAACTATAATGAGGAGCTTGCTAAAAGTGCAGGTTTGGGGCCTCCCCCAAAACCTGATGGATTCAATCAGCATCCACTGTGATGCATGTGCAGGACAAACTTCGACAAGCACCACCTTATGTTGTGTGGCCTCCTTTGTGTGAACCATCTGGTATGTTGGTGATTTGGAAAGTGGGTCTAAAGAAAAGAGTATTTATGTGGGAGAGGAGAGGTAATATATATATTGAGAACTTGAGATACTTTAGGAAGACAAAAAAAGGTAAAGAATAGGAGTGTGGTGGAATAATGCCTTTGTACTCTGTGAAGATTTGTCACTGTGATTGGTTTAATAAACAAGATGAGTGGCCAATAGCTGAACAGGATAAAGTTAGGTAGGAGAGCCAAACTGAGAATGCTGGGAAGGAGCGGGGTGAAGTCTGGAGTCACCAGCAGAGAGATGCAGAGAGAAGCAAGATAGTATTGAGAAAAGTTACCAAGCCATATGGCAAAGCATACATGAGAAATATGGGTTAATTTAAATGTAAAAGTTAGCTAGTAACAAGCCTGAGCTATTGGCTGAGCATTTACAAATAATATTAAGCCTCTGAGTGGTTATTTGGGAGCAGCTTGCAGGACAGAAACTTCCACCTACACAGGAGTTTTGAGCCAAGTTTTGAAACAAGCAAGTGATTCTGGGTCTGGGAAAGGACAGAAAAAAATAAAAGGAAAGGGCTAGAAATAAATTTCCCCTTTCTTTTCAGTTTTCTCTACAGGTTTTATTACTGGTAACTCAAGTGGATAACTTCAGGACTGGAGAAGTGGGCCAGTGGGTAAAGTGACTGCTGTGTAAGCATGAAGACCTGAGTTCAGATCCCCAGTACCTACATAAAAGGTGGGTGTAGTGCAGATACCTGTAACCCCAGTGCTACCAGGAGACAGGGGACAGATAAATCTCAGGGGCTTACTGGCTAGCCAGGCTAACTGAAGCAGCAAACTCCAGAGTCACTGACAACCCTGTCTCAAAAACTAAGATGGGCAGTGACAGAAGAAGACAGCAGATACTGATCTCTGACCTCCATATATGCACACACACAGAGGTGAGCAGGTATACCAAGGGCACCAAAAAAGCACCCTTTAGTATTAGACTTTAAGAACAAAAAGACAAGTAAATACCAACTTCTACATGCATCACTTCAGAGCACAATGCCTATTTGTTTTCTAAGATATATAGCTAAGGTACAGAATGATAATTTTCTAGCATGTAAGGCAACACAAACAAATCCCACCATTATACTTAGTATAACATCAATTACAAGAGAGTTTTAATTGTTGAAAGATAGATAAACCATGTGTGAGAGCTTCGTTTATTTTTAGCTAACTAAAGTCCCTATCTTGAAAAGCCTAACAAACAACAGAATTATCCTCAAGGAAGGAGAGACCACAAAGACCATCTATTATAGTCATGCATGTGATACTCAGCTCATCAAAGTGAAGCTATTCATTGCTGGGTCCCATAATCCAGACACATGCTCGGCACTAGATGACCACTTAGGAAGCATTATCTGAATGAAGGATTAAATCCCTTGAAGCTGTCTTTCTTCTAGATTCATCGTTTATTGGGGGAGGTGATACACATATCAGAAGTTCCATCTTCACACACTGAAAATTCTACCTTCCCATAATTCATATCTAATCACTCTGGTTCTAGGCAGAAAAAAAAAAACAAATTTCCTATCCTAAATGAACACCCTTCAGCTATAAGCCATTACAATACCTACCTAATCCATGTATGTATTATTTTGGGGTTGCATTTGTCTCTCTGAAAAATACAAGGTTGCCTAGTGATGGTGTTAGATTGCCAAGGCAGCTTAAAGAAACAGAAGACAGAAGGAGACCACAGTCTGACCTTCACCAGATGGGATTGTGTTTATTGGCACACATGGTGAGGGACAGCCTCTCTCCCAAAGGAAATTGAGGTGTCTTCTAGGGAGGAAAATGGCTGTGACCCTTTATAGGAGTCGGGGGGAGGAGCTTGGGAGTGAGGAAAATACTGCATTTGTAGAGGGCTATATGTAGTTCTGCAGTCTTTCCTGAAATTTTTTGCCAAAGGTAAGACAGGCTCTCTTGGAAGACAGGCTGTCCCAACAGACATTCCTTTCTGGGATAACCAATAATAGCTGAGCAAAGCCATATATAATCTCATAAGAATCCTGTTTTATGTGGCACAAATCTTAAAAGGTCTTATTAATAAAATCAAATCTGAACCCAGGTATTGGGGTGAATGCTGGGAGATCAGAGAAGCAGAATAAGCCACAGCCACCTCACCTTGCCAATTCCTCAGCTGATCCTGTTTCCTCAGACTGGAAGCCTCTGAGTCCTCATCCAAATGGATCTCAGCTCAACTGCTGCTCAAAAGCCTAAAATCTTAACAGGCTCTAGTTCCTGGTCCTCACGCTTTATATACCTTTTTGCTCCCTGCCATCACTTCCTGGGATTAAAGGCCTGTGTCACCATGCCTGGCTGTTTTAAGTGTGGCTTTGAACTCACAGCGATCCAGACAGATCTCTGCCTTTGGAACGTTAGGATTAAAAGTGTGTGTGTGCTACCTTTTCCTGGCCTCTATATTTAGTGGCTGTTCTGTTCTCTGGCCCCAGATAAATTTATTGTGGTGTACAATATATTGGGAAACACAATATCACCACAGTTTTACAGCCAAGGAACAATATCATTGGGGATGAAGTTCATGGTCAATTTTCCCACAAACCTTCTATGACTTCTTCATGCCTGCCTCAAAACTTGATGGAATATGTATTCAAACCTCAATCCAGGAGATTGAGTCCTTTGGGTTCCATGACAAATGGTTTCTGGTTGCTCAGTATAAAATAGGGCTAGAGTACAAGCATGACTTGGCAGGGGAAAGGTACGTTAAGATAATTTTTCTTAAAAAAAAAATATTCACTTCTCTCTTCTTTCTTCCTTAGACACATTACAAAGAAACTCCCCTATTCAGGTCTCCCATGTTCTATTCTTAGGGAAATGTGTGATGGCTGATTCTGTATGTGTGGCTAACTGAGAGGGGGATCCACAGGATTTTCCTATACAGTCAATTTGGTCTCACACTAAAGCCCCATTTATTTCTGCAAATAGGTACCTGACCTTCACGGATCCTTAGAACACTTATATTTCTGCCTAAAACCACAAAGCTATTTCACCCAAGGTCTTCTTTATTGCTGAGAGAAAATAGAATCACCCATGTGTCCAGGGAAGATTTTTAAATGAACCTGAGGGAAAGAAGAGTAGATGCCGGAGGTCAAAGAAACAGGGCAGGAAGGAGCTGTGATGGAGGAAGCCAGTGGCAATGGAAGAGAGAGAAAGGGGAGGCTTTCAGATGCTAAGGAGGAGCTGAGATTAGATGAGAAGATGGAGAACAACCACCCAAGAAAAGCAGAGTGATGGAGCCTCCAATAGAGACAGGCGGAGTGGGGGGAGGGCAGAACACATGGATGGATGGATGGATGGATGGATGGATGGATGGATGGATGGATGGATAGATGGATGGATGGATGGATGGGCAAATAGAAGTCTAAAAACTACAGAAAATACTAATGTGTCTCCCACCCTTAGCATGAAACCAACACTGCTATCCTGGAGAAAAGTAGAAGAGAAAAGTTAATGGCTGTAGCAAAGGGGAATCTAGAAAAATCAGAAGACCCACATAAACCATCTCCCTAATCCTCTATTTTATAGACAAGACATTTGAGATGTAGACAGAGGAAGTTCCTTAACTCAGCTGGCAGCTGCTTGGTCCCAGTGCAGAGATAATAAATAATAGAGGCAATAATAAAAAGTTTTGTTGACAGAATTTACAGTCTTCTTCTTGCCTTTTGGAAATGGCAAAAGCTATGTGCTGAGCCTACATTAAAATTATTTTATAAAATAAGCTGCAGCCACATCAGTGAGTAACTTGCTGCTTGGAACCAGATGTTTCTATACTACAGCTGTGATGCGGGATATAGAAAAGAAAGAACAAATACTACCTTTTGTTTTCTGTGTTCTGAAACCAACAGAACATCACATCAATAAGGACCACATCAGAATGGAAACAGTTCTGAAATAAGCAATAATTTCCCCTTCCTTGATCTTAAGTTAGCCCACTAACCATTAAGGCTTCTAAATATGATGTCTCAGCGGGAATCAACTAATGACATTTTTCCACTTCAAGATAAGCATCCCTCCACCATGCTAGGAAATCTCGCTCAGCTCTGTTCAGGGAAATTGAGGTTGGAAAAGACGTAAGCCTTCTTTGGAACATTTTTTCATGAAGCACTTTTTAAATGAAGCTTAATCACAGGGTTCAATATCAGCATGGCCACACATAGGTATAGCTCCTACTCAGGTATTCCTTTGAACAAACATTTCTTTGAGCCCAGTCAGAAATCTGAATGCAGAATTAAATTTTACCTGAGTAGTCAGTCAGAGAAAGGCTGCTGTTGAAACATGAGTTGAGATGAATATCTTCCTATTGATCCATAATCATCTGCAGAGTTTCTCACCTAAGAGATAGGAGTTGACTTTTTAGGGGAGCTTTGATATGCTGATATGTGGGAGCTTTGCGGATTGTTTTAGAGTTCTTTGCTTCTATAATGAGCTTTTAGGCCAAGCAGCAGTCATTTTCTGGGCCAAAGTGCCTAAGCAGAGAGCTACTGCTCCAGAATCACTGAGAAAATTCCTGACTCACAGCAATCATGTGATGTGGAAATTCATTACGATGTATAAAATATCTTGTTTTTAACAAGTAGGGGACTTGGGGGATGGATAAGTCAGGAATGAATAAACCAGTCCCATTAATAGACTGGATAGTAAATATTTTAGCCATCATGGGCCATCAATTACTAATTTCAAATACTCAGTTCTGCCACCGTAGCTCATAGGCAGCCACAGTATATAAACAAATGAGAATGAGTCCCAGTAAAACTTCATTTACAAATACAAACAATAGTTCAATCTAATTCTAAAAGTAGACCATTGTTTGTCAATTCTGAGTTAAAAGATTAACAATTTCTTAAACTATGTCTCTACAGACCTACTAGACAGAAATAAAAAATCTCATGAATTTAAATCAAAGGCTGTGGAGCCTGCATGGGACTGGACCAGACCCTCTGCATAGCAAGACAGTTGTGTAGCATGATCTGCTTGGGAGGCCCCCCTGGCAGTAGGATCCGAATCCATCCCTGGTGCATGAGCAGGCCTTTAGGAACCCACTTCTATGATGGGACACCTCTCACAGCCTTGGGGCAGGGGGAGGGGCTTGGACCTGACTCTACTAACTGTACCTCCCCATGGGAGGCCTTACATTCTTGTAGGAGGGAATGGGGGGTGGTTTGGGAGGGGGAGGATGGAAGGTAGGAGGAGGGAAGAGAGGGATCTTTGGTATGTAAAATGAATTAAAAAATTTTTTCTTAATAAAAAAAATCTCATGGAAAAAAATCTTACACAGAAGTATGGTGATACATTGTGTACCCTAAATAAACTTATCTGGGGATCAGAGGACAAAGCCAGCTACTAGATTAGACACAGAGGCACAGATAGTGGTAGCACACACCTTTAATCCCAACACTTGAGATCTCATGCCTTTGCTTGGAAAGCACGCATGCCTTTAATCCCAGGAAGTGACATGACTGCATGGAGAATGGTAGACAAGGTGTGAGGAGACAGTAACTAAGTAGTAGTTCAGCTGAGACCATCAGGGATGAGAACTCAAGAGGCTTTCAGTCTGAGGATTCATGGAAACAGGATCAGCTAAGGAGCTGGTGAGGTGAGGCTGGCTGTGGCTTGTTCTGCTTCTCTGATCTTTCAGAGTTCACCCCAATATCTTTCTCCAGGTCTTTTCTG